CTTGACTTCCATCCCAGCCATCCCCACCAAGTTCAATGGCAGCTTGTGGAGAGTAAAGCAGGACAGACGTTAGCTTGATGTTTTTAACAATGTTGTGGCTGCTAATGAAGCATGATCTGATCTGGTACATGTTCAGAGGCTGTTGCCAGTGTCTGCAGCAGAATAGACTGTCTATAATGTGAAGATGCAATTGATTCGTCAGTATGTTATGTATACAGGAAAGTACAAGTGTTCTATTTGATTTTGTTTCTGTTGAGAAGGAACTCGGATAAAACATACAAGAAATAGTGTGGGCATTTCTGGCAATGAAAAGGTTTTCTTTTTGCCTGCCCTTGGCCACCCAAAAGTAACGGAGCTGTCCAGCTTGATAGGTAGCATGGGCAAGTTTTAAGATTCCCATTATAAAATAAAGAAAGGGAATTTTGCTTTTATAAGGAAGAATCGCAGAATTGGAAATGATCCATATTTGGGACATAAATGCAAGCTGTTATGCAGATCAAAGTATCTATTTGGAGCTGAATTACTCAACAGCATCTATCTATGCCTCTTCAACACCTGCAGATTAGCAATGTAATCGTGTGGAGGTTGCTATAGCTACATCTCTAGAGCAGGTGGAGTTCTTCGTCTCTTGGAGCATTATGTTCATTCTTTGCAAATAAACCATATAAAGTGTATTTAAAATGTCACCCTAGCGCGTCAGCCCCTCTCTCTAGCTGACACTGTCATGTCATATCCGTCCTTATCCTATTAGTCCTGATTGTTTTCACTACAAACAATGCCATTTCCATCTAAGCATCATGCCTTCACCAAAACCTACATGTGAAGGGGCACCAAGGTCATAAAGCAAGTGCCTGAGTTTAAGCTGAGAAGAGCTGTTCATCTAGCAGAAATGTAGTCTTGCCTTGGGGTTGATGGCATGTAAGACTGTGAGCTGAACACATAATAAAACTGCCAGCCTTTGGCTACAACACTTTCCAAGGTCTGACCAACTGTTCAGACAGTGGGAGTGCTGCTTCTGATGGTTTTCAAGCTGGTTGTTTGCCTAAGTCTTTTCCCAAACAAGGGAAATATTGCATCAAATACTTTAGCCTGCTTGTTTGGGCTCTTCCACTGTTTACTACAGCAAAGGGTTGCTCAGATGACCCTTCCTTCTAGCTGTCTGTCTGCAGTGACTGGCATATGCTGTAACCCTTAACCCTCTGCCAGTCAAGCACACAACACGCTAACCTGTGTGAAAACTCAATAGCAATCCCTGTACAAAAAGCCAATAGCCTAAAAGGAGAGCCCTAACAAGTAGAAAAAAATAGACAAGAAGGAAAAGTACCAAAGAGCAAACAAACAAATCAGGATGATTTGACTTGCCTAATTTTGTAATTTTGCTCTAGGTCTGCAATCTTTTCATTGCCCAATGAGGGCAGGTGAGGAAAGATTTATAACTAAAAATTGTCAACAGCACCTACAACAGAGGATGTTTTTTCTCCCTGGCAAATTTCAATTTCTGCACTAGAAAGGTGAATATCAGAAAATAGTCCAAACATAGTTATACTTCAGTAGCTTTTCAATGGAGAGCTTCAGTTCTCCCCAGACAGCTTTTGAAAGGGTATTCAGCAAAAAAGTAAAAAAAAAAAAAATGCCAAGAAAAGTAGAATCTCAAAGTTTGTTCTTAGCACAGTTTTCACTTGTTCTGTATCATTCCTGTTTGGTTTTGTCCTTTAAGTTGTGTCTCTGATACAGACTCTTTAGCTTTTTCCAGATTCCTGAAATATGTATGCTCCTTGGAGCCTGCTAACTTTTGTGTGCCCTGAAAAGCAGTACTTTAAAACTGATTTCCATAAAATCAGGCAGATAAGAATATGTCATGTTTCTCTGAGACAAATCCATCTTCCTATCAATTGGTGCATTACATGTCACAGAATCATAGAATCATTTAGGTTGGAAAAGACCTTTATTTTTCACTGTCTTCAGACTGTTACCTTTCAGGCAGTTTCTTCTATATGTTCCCCAGACTGCTGGTACAGATGACAATAATGAAGAGGCCACTCAGTAGAAGAGAGGCTTTTTAGTCACTGGTCTTTCCCCTTATTTTGGGAATGGCTGTTGAAAAACGTGAGCTAGACAAAGGCAGTATGGAGGAAATCACATCAGCCTTGCCTTTCTTCCGATGCCGTCTTGGTCATAACTGCCAATCAAAATGTTGCCAAAAGCAATGATGTATATTCTGGCTTTGAAAAGGGTATAGGTTTAAAGCACAGAAATGAAGCCAGCTACAGCACTGTGTGCTGCAAGAGATGGCTCCTTCTATCTAGATGCCAAATTCCCATCAGCACTGAGTCACGACAGAGCAGGAATTAAGCCTTGGTAAATGTGCAGCTTGGGGAAGGTGTACCCAATAGACAGCTGTGAAAATGGATTAATTTGTTTTTCAAGCTTCAAGTCCAGAATAGGGTGTTGGGATTTTTTTATTGCTCTTTGAGATGTTTGTTTTTATTCTTCAAGGTTTATTATAATTTGTAAACCCTTGATTTTGTACTACACCAGATTAAGAGTAACAGTTGTTCGTGATTTAGCTGCCAGGAACTTCAGTTTGCTTTTTGTGGCCTGCCTGGCAAACAAAAGGTGCACGCAAATTTGCTATAATCGTTAGGAACTGATGACTTCCAGAAAGATGAATGCATTGACAGAGTTTTTTTGCATCCTGTTGTTCATGAATCATCCTGTCACATAATAACCATGACCAAAGTTTTCAAAAGCAGCTGGCAATGTGGGAGACTGTGGTCCCCCACCTTGAGACTCCTGCACTGGACTTCCTTCCCTGAAAGCATCCCTTCCTGAAGACATCTCCAATCAAGCAAATAAAATTTCAGATATACCCCATATCATTAGGCACCTTTGAAGCAAGCAACCTTAATCATCAGAAATGAAGAATGTGGTCTTAGTAATTGCCAGTGTGATCCTATTGCCCATGGCATCTGCAGAGCTCTTTCTGAAGGGTAAAAAATCTTGCTTGGAAGTCTCCTGGGTGATTCTATTATAGAGAAAATAAAAGAAAGTCAGTCCTTTTAAAGTGATAGCAATCAGAACATAGGCTGAGGTATGATCTTTTTTCTTGCCTAAAAGGAATGCAAAAGGAAAAGACTACAAAATAAGGCATCTGCTTCTGTCTTAGGCTGGCCAAGGTCGGGGAGGAAGCTGATCTCCATCTCACAGTACAGCACCATGCTTGCAGCCCCCAGGCTTGACAATGGACACAGCCTGTCCCATGCCCTGCCATGGGGGTCCATCAGTGTGAGAGCAGTCCCGTGCTAACCTGACACATCCACCACTTGCTGCTGGCGGGAGCCTTGGGCGAGAGCCTTGAGCACTTGCACCTCACTGCTGGCAATTCAGAAGCTGAGTATCTGTGATACATCACCCACAATTCACCACACAGCTTCCCATCTATTCCCAGTGCTATGGAAATTGTTTCTTGAGGCAGCCCTGATTTTCCTTTCATCAATCAATTAGGGGCAGGCTTAGCACTGGGTTGTCTGTTCTCCCAGCACTGCACCATTTGATATTATTTTCTCCATGACAAATTAACCACAGCTGGACTGAAAGAAAAAAGAGAGAGGAAAAAAAAAAAAAAAAAAGAAGACACAGTAAGCACGAGAAGCAGGAATAAAGAGATATTTTGAAGGGGAAGGAATGGCAAGAGCAGGGACTTGACAGCTGCCCAGGGAAGAGGGTGTTCTCTGGTTGCCCATCTGGTCAGTCTCGCCATCTTCCAGGGTCAGGGAGGCTAACAGTGTGGTGCAAAATCCATAGCTCCCAGGTGTATTAGTGGTGATACTCCTTGTTATGCTGAGCTATGTAACCAGCTGGGAGCTTTGTGGAAAAGTCTGGTAATGAGGCTCTCCTTTATCCCTTTACCACAGACTCAGTCACACCAAGACTCCCATGTTCTACACAGGGATATGTTCTCTTAGGGAATAAAGGAAAAAAACAAAAAATATTCGTTTTGTTGTTTTCTTTTTTTTTTTTTTGCTACTATAACAATCTGGTATCAGGAGCTTTGAAATTCTCACATCTTCAGCTCCTATAGTTCAAACAAACTTATTTTACATTTTCCCTCTGCTTTCCCCCACCTTCTACGCTTCATTGCTGCAACAGTCTCCCATAACACATTCACAGATTAAAAACAGCCTTCTGCCACCCTTCATCTACTTTGGCCAGTTTAAAACTAGGCAAACTACCCTAGGCACTGCAGAGTAGAGAAAGCAATGTGTGCATATGGACTCTAACCTAAAGGGAACAATTCTAATAGAAAGAAGCAGCAGATTATTCGTATTTCCAAGATTTCTGATTTTGCACCCCCCTTTTCTGCTGCTTTTTTTTTTTCATTATGCTAAAACAGTCAGCCAAAGGTCCAGAAAAGCAATAATTACAGTTACTGTGTGGTGGGAACAATGATTCACGAACAACAGGACACAAGAAAATCCCATCAATGTGTTCATCTTTCCTGAAGCGATAGGGTCCTAATGATTAGAGCTGAGCGAGCAGCAGGGAGAGTGATGCATGAAGAGCAGAGCTGTGTTTTGAATTGGCCCTGAGTGCAGATGTTTCTTGAATAGTTCTTGGGCTATTAACTGCCAGCTTGAGCCATATTTTGGGAGGACCTTTGACTCACAGACATTAGCGAGGAGTGAGCACAGCATCATATGCAGTAGCAGGTATGACCCTGAAGCAATTGCAACCTGTGTGCTGGCTATACCTACCTGCAAGGAAAGGTGTAAGGAATCCAAGGAATACAAGGTCCTGAAAATACATCTTAATATCATAGATGTTCTTGACAAATGAACTGTAATGACTGTGTGAGAGGAGAATGTTGGACAGGAGCAAAAAACCTGTGGGGTATGGGACAAAAAGCAGCTGGGAGATGCATCTTCTGCCCAGCCAATTACTGAGGGCTCAGGTGCCTAGACAAGAGCAACCACAGCACCCCACTAGTACACAACACTCACCTGTAGAAAGGGCCATGTAGTTGGGCCGCGTAGCTGAGCAATTGCCATGCCAGCTCACAGCCACCACTGGTTTTTATGCTATGATACATCTCAGTCTTCACACAAAATGTTTTGTGAAGCAACTTAACATACAAATCCCTTTAGCAAGAACGTGGAGCAGGTTTTTCTCAAATGATTAATAATCTGGTTTAAAGATCACTTGTGCTGGCTATTGAGCAATGTTAACCAGGTTCAATCAATCTAGTGACCGGGCTGGATGGCAAATTATAGAAATTTCTGGGTAAGTAAAATCTGTTTCCCCATTTGCTCCCTTGAGCACGTGCAAAAATCAATAGCTCAGGAAGCCTTTCAATGCCTCTGTCCCCGTGTGAACTCCATTTTTTTCCTCAGCTGCTACTCATTTACCTACCAAGGCAGACAGATGCTTTCCTGTGGTTGCTGCCAATGTTGCGTCATCAAAGGTGAACTGCTGTCAAGACACTGCAGAATACACGCTGAGAGACTGAGCTTATTCGGAAACCATTGTTTGCTTCCCCAGATCTTCACACACATCTGTACTTATTCACCCATGCACATAATGCTTAGAAGAGCAGCTGTTATGGGGAGAACTGTCTCAAACAGATGCATCTTGTCTGATTCCCCCAGCCCACACCTTCTGCCTCCCTCCCTCTGTGAGATGTACCAAATTTCAGGGCAGACCAAAAAATCCTGCTTGTTTGGACCTATCCAGGAATTGAACTTGATCAAAAAGGCATCCCTGCCAAAACGATAAAGCAAGGAAGGTTTGGAAGATTGCTGTCTCCTCTGACTTGATATAGAGCTGTTCATCGCATGTGGAAAAACATAACATCTTGTTAGACAAGTCCTGGAGCACTCTACTCTCTCGTGTTGCTGCATGGCTTCATGTCTGGCATAAATCAAGGACCCTAAGCTGATCTCTTCTACTTAATATGCACAGTTTTTAATGATATGTTTAAGATTGTTTGTTTTGTTTTTTTCCCCTTCATCTGAATTTGAAAACAGTTCCTGGCAATGGAGTATTGAACAAAAACTTTGAGATTGATGGATTTGGTTGGTTTCGGGGGAGGGAGGTAAAAGACGTGTCAGATCTGACAATTGGACTTTATATCCCTACTTAGTAGGTAATTCTCCTTAAGATTTAAATACTCTCCCGGATGGAATTAAAATTGTACTTTTCCAATTTAGTGCCCATTAGGACTTGTAAATTCTCTGGTGGTACAACAGCCTGGGGACAATGCCCATTAATATCTGTTATTTTCTTGCTATCATAATTCCTAAGGCCTGTTCCACAAATACTTCACATAAATGCTTAGTGGCAATTCCCTCAGAGCACTTAGGATCATTAGAGTGGCAACAGAAAACAGTTATAGCCTTGGCTTTTTTTATTTGCTCTGCCAAATCATTTAGCAAAAAATATTAGCACCAAGATAGGAGCAGTCATCTCCCATTCCCCTGCTCTGCAGCTCTGAACTGAGAGCTCCCATGTTTTCTGCTTTGGGACCAATTATTTTGTGTTATTATACATTCCTTTAAAATTCAGCCTTTCTTTCATGCATGAAAATTTCAACACGGTATTTCTCAGCTTTCAGCGTTACTGAACAGCAACAAGAGTTCCTGGCCACCCTGATCTGCACAGCCCTGCTTTGTGTGGGGAAGATGCTCCCTACTCAGTACCGCCTGTCTCAGGGGAGAGGCGGCTGTTGTGGGTGGGAGTGTGGAGAAGACATGCCCACTGTCCACTGCTTTTCTGTGCAGGTAAAGCCTTCAGCTTGACTGGAGTCAATGGAAATCTGGTCTCCATGCCCACACGAATCACACTGCAGTCTTGGGGTTTAATTCTGCATAAACCAGAGGTTTCCTCCCTGAGGCACCCTTATGCTCTCCTTCTTCAGTAACCAGCTTCAGTTCAGGAACCTTTCTGCACTGGTTGGGTGTCAGCTGATTGGTACTGGGGTTCTGGAGGCCTGGATGATGAAATGCCTGATCCATGGCTGTCCACAGTCTCGTGCTGGTTCCTCTCTGAAAAAAACACTCCATCACTGACATCCACTTGCTTATCTAAATCCAGGCTAACTTTTTGTCTGTTTTCTCTGAGCTGCTGTGGGTTTTGTTTCCAGTAGGCGTATTACTTGATTAATGAGCTCTCTGTTAACACTTGCTCATATTCCATATGGGATCTTCTTGGGTTATCTAAATGCACAAATACTTACAACAACCTCTTTTTTTTTTTTCCTCAGCTCAACTGTTTTCAGTAGCACAGTATATTTCTCCCCCCTCAATAGAAAAAAGAGCATTTTTCTAGCTTGTCCAAACTCACATTGAACATTACTTGTGATTCATGTTGTCACCTAGTGCAGTATTCCAAGGAAACAGCATGGACAGGCTCTGTCAAGAAGGGTTTTATAATGTATTTGTCATTTCTCTTCTGTCTAGATTAAGGGCTAAATTTTGTGATGGTAGATGAATTTGTAGACCCCATCTCTCTGAAATCACACCATCTATTCTAAAGAGGGACACTGCTTTTCTTTAAGCCAATGATAATAGCACTTTCCTGGATGCAAGTCGAAAAATATTTACATCAGTATAAATAAGTGGTGTGTAACTATAAATAAAAAGCACGGGTAATAAAGTGTTATCATTGAAGCTGAAATTAAAATTGAATCCTGCCAAGCCCTAAACATAGATCATGACAGAAAAATCCAATACACTTTTTTTTTTTTTTTTTGGAGGTGCTGTAATTATGGACTAGGTAAAGGAAAAAAAAAGATTATACAGCAGACATGATTTGCAATGATTTCAGAACATTTCTGATGTAATGCTGTGAAAAGAATGACCTCTTGTGCATAGCATCTACACATGCTTCTGCATGCCATTGCTGAAAGGTGTCATCCGCAGCATTTACCTTTTAACCCAAGCGAAGCCATGGGCTGCATGACCACGGGCTGTATGACCATGGGTTGTATGACCATCGCTGTATGACCACATGCTTGTTTCTGAAGAGGATGCACTGGGACCTGCCAGGGCTGTTCCCAACCTTGACCCCTGCAGCCTAGTCCTTCAACCTGGGGAAGCCCACAGAAACAAATTGGGAAGAAGTTTCCAAACCTGTGGAGAAGCGCCATGTAACCAACAGCGAGGTGACAGCATGCTGACTGTGATGTCATGTGGCTGTGGCATGGGGCCACCCCTCCATCCCCACAGCTAAGAGATTCCTCTTAGCCCACCACAGGCTGTCCTGGGGTCCTTGCTCTCAGCACAGGTCATGCTTGCCCTCCCTGTCTCTCCTCCTTGCAGGTAACTAAGTGCTTGCTGCCTAGTGGTTTTGCAAAGGGAGATAAACCAAGCCCTGGGGCAGAAGGGTTTGTATGTTGTCTACACTTAAACGCAGGCCTTTTATCTTAAAGAAAGTTACTTCTTTATCTCAAGAGCTTGGTCTGAGCTTTGTGCCCTTCACTGGCAGAGCAGGAAAAGATTTGTATCCTCTGGGAACATGGACTGGGGTGGAAAAGCACAGGTGGGCTCAGAAACGCCCCCAGAGCTGTTGGCTCCAAACTGGAAAGCATTCTCTTTATCTTATCAGGAGTGGAGTCTCTTGTCACCTCTCTGGAAAGCAAGGCTTGAGGCCAAAAGCAATTTCTTGTACTTCAATAGCTGAAAATAAAGCTTTAAGAAATAAGAACATGTCAGGAAATTAAATGAGAACCACAATTTAGCGGGGCTAGTGATTGCCCAGGAGAATATTGAGGAAAACTGTATAGAAAAGAGGAGTTTTGAGGCACAGTTAAGTGAATTACTGGTCCCATCTGTAACATTCGTTATAGTCTCGGCTGCTGGATATTCACTTTCAAAGAAATCAGCTTCAGCTACTGTCTGTTGAGGAACCCTCAATCATATGTGCAAATGCAATTACTGAAAATGAATCTGTCAGAGCAAATCTTATGTAATGAAGGAGTCCTGTTTGGGCTCCTCTTCTGAACTTATTTAACCTCAGGGATAACCTAAACCAATGTTCCTGTAACCCACTGGGAATGAGCAACACAGGTAGAAGGCTGACTTACTAAGAGGGTTAATGAAACTCAAAAATACTTGCCATGAGCTGGTAACGGCATCTGGGAGTCAGCCATCCACAGGGGACATCGTATGGTGTTACCTTAGGATCTCTATAGAAAAATCAGGATTGTTTTAGTGCCAAGCAGCAGGCATAGCCTGATGCTGTTTCAGAAGCACAAGCAGCCCTTGTCAGACACCATATGCGCAGAGGTCCTTGCACCTTCATGTAGTAGCAGGTACTCAACTTGACAGGGCTTCGGTGCACAGCACATGACATGATCTGTAAAGTGAATACAGCTGAGGAATGGCCATGAGATCTTCATTTGGTCCTCTGAGCTAAGCCCATTGACTTGGATCTCTGAGGTCTTTCTTCATTTAACTAGACCTCTATTTAGTTGTGCCTTTCTTATTATACATGGGATTGCCCACAGCTTGTCTTTGATCTATACAAGTTTCTGCAGGAAATTATGCATAAATATATCAAAAGCTATTGACAATATCAAGAAAAGAGTATGCTGATATTTCTGGGCTTCAGACATATTTTGGAGGTTTTTGTTTTTCTGTTACTGTTGTTTTGGGTTTTTTAAATGAAACTTTGCTCAAGGGACTGCTGTTGACTGAGGCTACGCAGCATATGCTTGCTTCAGTCCCTACTCCACACAGCAAAGACTCATGGAAGCCCACTGAACCACAACTTCTGATTAACTTCAGGCAAATGTTTCAGAGTTCTCCTGAAAGATGATGAACTGTTTTTCAGAGCAATGATTTCTGTACTGCAGAAAACAAGGCAGGTATTGTCTCCTCACAGCCTTTGCTAGAATTACTCAGAACACCTTTGCCCCCAAAGACTGTGTAGCTCAGATGAAAATGCCCACATCAAAGTTTAGATTTTACAAAGACTTCCAACTTTGTTAAAAACAAAACAAAACAAAAAAAAAGAAGATATTAGGGTTTGTTTCTTTACCTTCTCTCTTTTTAGCCAAGTTTGGGCAAGAGGGAAAATTTTAAATACAAGTCTCATATTTCATGAAAAAAAGATTGTCTTTTTCTTACTTTTCCAAAAAGAATATAAATCCTACTTTCAATTATTTATCCTAATATTTTCATTCCCCTCTGTACTCTGGACATTTCAACTATACGAGGCAACTATGTGTTTAACCTTGCTAACACTGAAAGCAATAAAATATGAAATGAATAGGTGAAAAGGGATAGTAAATCCCTACTGCAGAATTATCTGGCAGGTTTCAAGTCACAGGAAGATGTCAAACAACATAAAATATATTTAATATTGATGAATGTGACAGTAATGCACCTGGAGAGAAATAACAATCAGCACAGACATTTAGAAAACATTAATATAGGAAAAGACCTTGGGGTTATAGTGGGTAATGAAAAAAGTAAGAGCTCACATTGTGAGGAGAGCAATTATATCCCACCGTGTACAGAGTAAAGAGGGACCTGTTGTGTGACAAAAAGGGAGAGATGAGTGCAGCATTATACAGTCTGGGCAAGGCTGGACCTGGAGCACAGCACGCATTTTTAAGCTTCATTTTCTAAAAAGGACACTAAAAAGTGGCAGAGGACTTAAGGATGAGCAGCGGGAATGGTGAAGGGAACTGCAGGTGACAGCTGTGATGGAACGCAATTCACAGGGTGGGCTGGAGCACCAGGTAGCAATGGGACAAGAACTAATATTTGTGTGCCATTAAGATGGACCTTCCCTGCAACAGAGATGGTAAAAGGAACCTGTATTAAAAGTGGAACAATCCCATTTAGATATAACAGAAATGACTTAATCATAAGCGCTGATACACAGGTAACAGAATAAGCTGTCTGGTGAGAAACTGAATGCAAGTCACTGTTAGTTAAGCGTTTCCGAGGTGAGACTGGAAAACATAGCAGTGGGATTACTGTAGAAGAGGTCTCTCAGCATTGTTTGAGCACAGCTGATCTAAAAGATCCTTTGCTGTCATTTTCATCTGTGATTCTGGGAATGCAAAAAGTGACTTTACACGCAACAGGAAAGGCGATACACTCATTTTATTAGTTAAATCCATCTGCCACACATGATAAGCCTACACCATGATAGGGACAAAAGGTCTAGCCCTACAAGCCTCACCCCAGCTATCCCATCTGCTCTACAAGTGCTTGTATGCGCAGGTCCAGGAGCTAGAGATGCTGTTTTCAGAGTCATCCTCAGAGGTGGCTTTTACCACACGCATTTGCAGAGGAAGCTGGCACAGCTCCTGTCTATTTTGAAACGTTTGCTTCTGGAATTTGCAATGCTTGTACCAGTTAAATACTAAATTATCATAAAAGTAATTTACATGTTTCCCAAATAAGGGAATGCGAGTGGAGAAGAGGGTTTTTGAATGTTCGTAGTTCCAAATTAAAGGAATGTAAATGAGCCTGCTGTTCAATTCAGTGTGTAATGTGTTATTTCACGGTTGTCTCCTTGATATTGCAGGCCCCTTTTACATTAGACAATGTCACACCCCACCCAAATCACCATGAGATAAAGATGTTCCCCTTTAATGTAATAAAGGACAACAACAATATTCCAACAGAGAAAACAGCATGCATACAGATTTGGTACAAATGCATCATCTCCTGCTGGAAAGACTCCATCGTGTCCCCTTCACCACAACATGCAGTGTTACGTAGCACCTTTCATCAAAAAGCTTTTCATGGCAAAGCTCCCGTTGGCTCCCCATCCCTTCCTACAGCTTCCTGAGGAAGCAGCTTCTTCAGCTTTCCACGGAGCGGTCTGTGTCCTGACAGCATGGGCGTGATGTTCGGAGCACAGCTCAGCCTGCTTCTTGACAGAGGATTTTTGCTCTGCTTGTTTTTCTCATGTCCTTATAGCCAAGCAGAGAAAAATTATAGGATGGCTCAAAATTCATTCATTAGGGGCTGCTGACAACTGTTCCCTCCCATCCTGGTTATCTTTAAAGGAAAAGCAGGCTCTGTGTGTAGTGTGGTTAAAAGGCCAGTGGGAGGAGAGCAAGGGAATGATTTATTAGACTTTAAGTCAATCATAGCTCAGTCTGGACAACCATAAAACATCTTTACATCTACCAATAGGTGAAATTTATAGGGCTGTTCATTGCAAAGTGGAATGCTCCCACAGGGTGAGGGGAAGTATCGAGAGTTTCCTATTCATTTAAGGGGAAATGTGTTGCTCCTTGCTCTTCCCTCCCCAGTTTTACTTTCCTGCAGACAGCCCCATAAATCTGTTTCAGTGACAGCCCTTTGGTGGTGTAGTGAAGCAGAGCAGGGAACAGTGCATTAGGGACCAGGCAGAGCTCACACCCTGCTGCTCATGCAAAAGCCAGTCCTGCAGGGCTGTTCCAGTCCCTGCCACAGCCTCAGGGTTTGCCTGGATGGCTGAGAACAGCCCAGGAATCTGCTTTGACCATTTCCTCACTTCTCTGAACTGCTGGACCTCTTCGGGTGCCCACAGTGACAAGGGCGTTGCAGCTGCCCCTGCTTGTCCCCAGTATGCCACGGGCTCCTTTCCGCAGGGCCTTGAGAAAAGTGGGAGAGGAGCCTCAGGTTCCCTTTGTATTACCGACTCTCACTATTTGCACTGTCCCTCCGGGAGAGATTTCTCCTTCTGGATCCACCGTCCTCTACTCTCAGCTGGGCAAGGAGTACCCAGCTGGGCAAGGATGCATGCGTCCTCCTCAAAGGGACTGACCTAGCACATTGAGCCCTCATGTCCTCCGGAGAGTTGTCAGACACATTGTTTTGGGAAGGAGGATGGCTTCCTCACCCAGGAGTGTAAAGAGCATCCAGAGCATGATGCTGTCACTCCAGGAAACGTTGGAAAGTCCTGCACCATTTCCTTCAGCTCCTGACACCATAGGTAAGCTGTACGAGGCATTTTCTTGGAGGGAAATAGGTGGCCTCCCAACAGCTTCCAGATGGACAAGATCCTCCTGCTGCCTGCAGGAGCTTTTAAACTGAGCTGGTGGAGGAGTGACAGTCTGGGGGAACTGACCCTTTTCTGTGCCTTAGTAGGAGCCAGCTCAGGACAAAATAATCCTGTTATCCTGGGTCCCTTTCACTTTCTAACATTTGCTTTGGCTGTGCGAGTATGTCTTTACACAAACAGAACTCCTGTGTGTGATTTTCCCATCTTCCTTTGACCATATTAACAGCTAAATGATGGGGCCTGCAAGGGGCACATCCTGCAGAGAGGCAAAACTGCATGACACAACACAGGCCAAATAATGACTGGGTGACCCTGATGTAAATGCAGCCCCATGACACTTATATTCATGTATCTTCCAGATTCACATCATTATCTCTGAAAACACCCACTGCTTTTAATACCGCAATATCTCCCCACAGACAAGGGTAAGGCAATGTGCTGAAAGCACAAGACACTGAGCACTTGTGTCTTGCGCTCAGCTCTGTCACTAATTTCACTTTAGCTTGCCATGTCTTGTCTTTCCTGCCTGAGAAGATGATGTTAAGGTGCTGACCTGGTTGGCTGGTTGGTAGAATAATTTATTCTGGCTGTAAAAGGTGATATGACAGAACGAGCCTTTCGTAGGAATGTAACTGTCATAACAATTTCTGTGTGGCAGGCAAGGTTCTCTGGTCCATAGGGAGATGTCCCATTTCATCAGAGCAAGTGCTCTGCATCAGCTGTGGAGGAGTAAGTGAAAACAGCTGCTTGGTGCTCTGTGCACAGCAGCAGGGAGTTGGCACATGTTGTAATTCACAAAGGAGAAGCAGGTGAAGATCATCTGCTCTCCACAATGTCACTGGGAGGGGTGAAGGGGCAGCATGGCCTCTCGCAGAAGATGGCAGACCCAGATCAAGCCTGCATGAGCCAAAAGAGGGATTCAGAAGTGCATCTTCCATCCTCCAGCCAACTGCTGGGCCATAAGCCCACAGAACTCCTCTCATCTAGTCAGTGTGAACATCTCTCTGGACAAGAGCAAAATGACTGCAAGCAGCACAGGAGTTAGGGTACATTTAAATGCAAGGCCTACTTTGGGCTTGAAGGCAAATCCCCCTCAGCTTGGATGTGCTTAACATATGGTGTGCTAACTGTCTTCCAGTTTTTATTAGCATTTTTGAAAGGCTGGGTTTTATCCCACTCCAGAATGGAAAAACCCTGGATTTTGGTTTAATGAACCTATATGTGGCTAGCCCTCATTCTGATCAGCATAAAATGCTTTGCAAGTTATCAATGAAGAGCACTATTTAAGAGCTGTTATTCCTTGGGTGTCCTGGAAGATTTAACATTTACTCCGTATGCTCTAAAGTGTCGTTAGTTTGCAAATACAAAATACCATTTCAGACAGAACAAAAGCAGTCCTCTTCAGCAAGTACTAATTTCACAGGAAGTTTTAACTTCCAAAATTCATCCATATTTTAGCGTAAGTTTCATTTGCAGTTATTTCATGCAGTTTTCTGCTTGAAAAAACTGTGTTAGCTTTAGGAGATAGTATATCTTGTCAGCCTTCATAATGCAAAAAAACAGTTAAAGCTATTACTTGGCTTAAACGCTTGGGAAGAGAATTCCTCCTCAAAGAAGTTTTGCAAAACTTGAAAGAAAAATGGAAACTGAAGCTCAGGATGGAAATAATTTTGCAGCCTGAATTGCAGTGGAGGTGAATGATATGGGCTGGAACATAAAATTCTTATTTCTGCTATTGCAATGCTGGAAGGCAGATGTTATTCACCAGAAAAGACGAACATCATAAGCTCCAGCCAGTCGAAAAATAAAAAGGCTGGGTTTTGGAAGGGGACTCTCTTTTCTAAACAGTACTATCATAGCTAAGTTATTCTGTAGTGCCAATTGACTGAGGCTCACAATTGCTGCACTCCCTATGGCAGCACAAATGCTGTCGGACAATCAGGTTAAAGTGAGCAATTGCGAGTCTAACCCATGAGCCACCATTAGCAGCAGTTCCCATTGCAGCAGAACCACCTTGAAAGTCTTCCTCCTGCTCCTGCGAAGTGGCAGCAGGCCAAAAAGGATTGAATCTGCTGCCTCTCATTGTTCTGACAAAATTGAAATAAAGGTATCCAAACAGAAGAGTGTCCCAGATCAATGCTTCCTGCTTTGAAAGTAAACATTCCAGCTTTCCTTCTATATTCACTGAATTTGCCATTTATGCCGCAGCAGGAGACCATTATCTTGTGACAATGTTCTGCTCTACTAACATTACCTCTTAATTATATCTTCATTAAAACCAAATTAGAAAGCGGTCAGGAAAGTTAAGCCAACTGAATTGCTCATTTGGCTGAACATCCCGACACCTTATTTTAGAAAAGTGATGCTGGCTCACGCAACAAAACATTTAATGATCCACCTCGCTGCTGGGAAGTGTTTATTTTCACTTTAAATGATGAACTTGCTGCTCAGTCACACTGCATTCCTTCTGAAAGGATCATGCTTAGTTAAATACTAGCATGGCCTTATAGCTGGTTTTGCCCATACCTGCAAGGTGGTGATGTTAGATTGTGTTTGCCACTGTTATCTCTTTACATCGTTTCTTCATTAAAGCTGAAATAACCTATGCCTGATGAGTACGGAAAGAACCAGGAAATTTCACTCCCCAGCAACAGAGAAATTGTGTTCCCCTGCAGCAGAGCCGGTACCTGCCCATCACCCTTCCTTCCCCTGCACTGGGAGGACAGCTACAGAGGGATGCCGGGACAGACATCAGCTGAGCCAGCCAGCTGTTGGAAACTTCTCCTTCTCTTGAAGGAGCCAGGCCAGCTGCAGAGGTGCTCCCTGTAGCCCCCCCACAGGAGAAGGTGCCACACACTGCCAACAACTGGCTCCTATGGCAGGCTTTTGGGCAGCCCTCTGTCCCCTGTCTGTGTGAACAACCCTTCTTGTCCTTCATGTACTGTGGGAGTTGAGCGACAGTGACCCATGCTTCACGCCCAGGACTGGACAGACTTGTGTGACCAACATGGGAGGCCTCAGACCTCCAGTCCTTCAGCTATATCACCTTTCAAGCCCTGCTCCTCTCCCCAGGCTGCAGCATCCCCTAACAAAGATTCCTCCATAACCTACAACAGTCAGACTCTTTGGGAACAAGTTGCAGCATTCAAACCTATCAGTTTAGGTATTACCTGTCAAGTGCATCCACAAGACATATCACAAATATCGTAAGCCGCACGAACCTGTCTCCACTGGGAAGACAGAGATAATTATCCTCCATGAACCTATAGACTCAAAGTTCCACAATTGCCAGTATTTGGCAGCACAGGGACATGCTCCCTATTACCCAGTATTCTTGTCATCACAGTTAAATTTTGGGGAGCAATCAATTAATAGTTAAGTATAATATGGGGAAAAATACTTACAGAGCTATATTTTTTTTGAGGACCTATTCTACATAAAGCTATATAGGAGAGAAAAAGAAATGCTTCACTTTGAGCAGCTAATAGAAATCAGACCCCTTATAACACAGGTCTTCAAGTGAAGAGAGTTTGCAGAGTTTCAGTAAAGAAAGCCAGAGGCAAAGTCTACCTGTGAACCTGGACAGCTCACCATCGTTCATGCTAAGCAGCTTTGACAGCCAGAACTGCACAGGAAGATGGGAATTCTAAAATCATGGATTCCTTGGTTCCAGTGATCTGCAGCTGCAGTTTAAGTAAGGGAAAATATACATTTTTGGTCCGAAAATAGATGGCAAAAGAAGAAGAGGTACTAGCTCCTTTATGTTCAAAGTTTAGAGTAGGAAAATTTGTAATTCTATTACATGGATGTTACCATGTCAGATCATAGGGGAAAACAGCACCCAGCTCCCTATTATACCTTTGAAGGGTAATTTAATATGGAATTTCCAAAGACAATCGGTGCTGGCACTAATGTTGGTGAATGTACCGCATACTTACAATGTCCAACACACATAAAGAGAAATTTCAGCAGTTTGGAGCTCTTGGTCCGATCCTGCTTGTCCCTCTCAGATGCATAGCTGCAGGGAAATGACTTCACCAGTCACAATGTGCAGTAGGGAAGTAATTCTTAAAAGATGATAATCTGCCCAGGGTGTAGTGGATGGATTGTGTTGCGTTTGAGGCGGAGAAAATAATCAGAAGAAAAATGAGCACAAGGAGAATGATACAAACCTATCAGTCAAGGAGTTATAATGGATCTCTTTGGTTTGTGTAAACTAATGCAAAGGACAAACATTGTGTGTCCAGCCAGGCTATTGTTTCTGTCAGGGCTGTACCTTACATTTTGTAGCTATATTTTATAGATAATTTTATAGATAATCTATGATGCTTCACTTCTGTTCAAAATAAACCTGAATTAGAAGGAAAAAATTCAGAGAGATAGAGAGAACATGCAGCACAAATGAAGCTGATGCAATCATTTCCAGTTCTAAAACAGAGCAGGTAAGATGAGGATGTGGCTGGTTTAGTGATCACTGTAATCAGCACAATTGACTGCTTACAGATGACTAATTTTCAGTTCTAGGGAGGTAAATTGAGACTTACATATTTCAGCTTTATCCTAGCACTACAGGTAATGTAAGACAAACGGTCTGTGAATTCCTAATACCAAAGACATTTGTGGGTTATAAAAGAACACAGAATGTAGATACGGGGTAAAGTTAAGGAAATACAGATTTGTATTCAGATGAAATTTAAAACAAGCCTTGAGGTGAATTTTCTTTCAGTTTAATTATTCCTTGGATCCATTCAGACCCATCTGTATGTTAATCAAAAGTGATCATAACAGTTTTGTTGGTAAATGGAAAATAGATCTTGATAGATGCTCATTATACTTAATTTTGTTAACAGCTGAAGAATCAACAAGAGGAATGAACTTAATACAGCAAGAAATGAGGTTCTGAAAAAGAGGAATGAAGAGCAAGATAGAAATTATTAAATTAAAGAACCAAAGCTGTGCTGGACATCCTAATTAAAATATACAGAGAAATGATGGAGCAGGGGACATACAAGAACCGAAAGATGTGGATAAACAGCAGAGGAGGAGAGCATGGGAAGTTATCCTAGGAAAAGAAGGGTAAGACAGGACACAAAGACGAAGTGCCTGGACAGAATGTATTCCTTCTGTCCAACAACAAGGACAATGATGCAGGGAACAGAAGATACGGAACAGGGTGCAGGCTATGGGAGTGTGACCCCCAAAACAAAAGGATAAGTGGCAGCTTTTGGTCAGAATGAAGCAGGTGGGAGGTAGGTCAATGCACTGGCAGCAGCTTGCAGAGTCCTCTGACTAAGATAAACCACCACTGCTATTTTGCTCTCACTCCACACTGACATTACAGCCCTCTGACTAGGAGGAGTGACCAGGTTCATCCTAGAGAAAGGAACACATTCAGCTCTGTGCAGAGTTGAAACACTTCATAGGAAAATACACCAATTCATTTTTTATATTTGTACATACTTTTACTGAAAAAAAAAACCCAAACCATGTTGTCGGAGTGTCAAACACAATTTTGCTAACAGATAACAGGTCATGCCTTTGAGAAATCTGAGCCTCCCTGGGTTCCACGAACAGCACCAATGCATCTAAACTAGTCTTCTAGGATGCTTTTGCATAAGGTCATGTCAAGGAAAATCACCAACATGTGCTTCTATTTACAGTCCCTACTTCATTAAGGCAAAATCTAATCTTACCCAAAGCCACTTCTTAGCAGAGGTGACATTATAAGAAAAGGGGATTCTTGCTCCAGCCCTTACCAGGTGCTTTCTTGCATGGCTTGCTGGCAATGTGTGGTTGATTGGGCTGTGTCACCAGTGAGCCACAGAGTACAGAAAACACAGTGGTTTTGAGCTCTGAAACTTCCTTCTAAAGAGGAAAGGCATTGTGTACTGCAACAGCCATAGAAGGAAGACATGACACTCACAGCCTTCCAGAAAGACAAAGGTCAGCCAGGGAGAGGAGGTGGGGAACAGTTCTCTTCAAAATCAGAGGAAGTGTGATGGCCCACAGTTTGAGGAGGATGGTGTCATCAGGTGTTTGACCATGCAATGATGTCCCAGTGGAAAAGTACCACCCCAGCTGCCAGCACCCTGCAGGGACCAAGAAATAGGCCTGAAAGGGAGCATCAAGATAGCAATGAGGGGGTAGGACTTGTCCACAGAGGACATCAGGGGACAGGACTGGGGTAGGAGAAAGCAGGCTACCATGCCTTTGCCTTATGGCTTACCATAAGATACTGAGGGAAAATGGGCAACAAGTTATAGAGGAAATCAAGTTGAATGGGTGATCCATATCAGTCCACGCTGAACTTCCAGTTTTATGGGGAGCATTTCAAGAGTAGAGACAAAATCCACTGAAGAGAAGGGAAGCAGAAAAATAACAAAGCAGTGAAAATGGCACATAATAGTTCTAGGTGAGAAATTAAAATAATGAAGTGGAAATGAATAATGTTACAAAGTGATGTTTAATGACTCCAGCTTTTGAGTTGAAAAGACAATAGAGCCTATACACAGCTGATGAGTAAAAAATCTTCAACTATTAGCACATCTTTATCACAGGATGGCTCTGCAAACCCCCTTTTTTTTCCTCTACTGTCTTTCCCCAAATCATACTAATGCCACTAAATCCTAGCCCCCAGGAAAAATAAGTAGGTTACGTATGCCTAAATTTTAGCTGTTGTTAGCACTAATGTCACTGAAGTCAAAGCATGGACTTCTTGATGCTGGGCAGCTTCCTGCCCATGCTGATTCTCTTCTGTTTTGACGTGAGGTGCTTGAAATATCACAGTTTTAAATCAAAAACATTAGTATATTAGTACCTTATAGTGATAAATGTCTACATTATCCTCTTTCTTGAAGAAGGCATTGCAGCCATGAATTTTTCATGTCAAAGCTAATATAGTCACCCATGGATTAAATTACACTGTTGACAAAAAAAAAAAAAAAAAGAAGAAGATTAAAAGAAAACTATTTTTAGCTATTTAGAAACAAATTTATCTTAAAAGCCATGGCAAAGCTGAGGGATGGAGTGATGGGACAGCATCACAAGCAATTCTCTGCACAGTGGGCAACTGAGATAACCACTGTTACTATTTGATTTTTCTATCTACACTGAGCATTTCACCTTTAAAGAACTGCATGAGGAGAGCAGTGGCAGTACCGTGATCACCATCCTCAGTGGATGGCACATGTCACAAACATATCAGTCTGCCAGTAGGATGTCCTCTGCTTTTGACTCAGCAGGGTATCTCACAGATCATGGGGAGCTGAAGGCTGGGACAGAAAAGGGACTCCTGCCACTGTTGGAACAAGTCCAGAGAAGGGCCACGAGGATGATCAGGGGACTGGAGCACCTCCCGTATGAAGACAGGCTGACAAAGTTGGGGCTGTTCAGCCTGGAGAAGAGAAGGCTGCGTGGAGACCTCATAGCAGCCTTCCAGTATCTGAAGGTGGCCTATAGGGATGCTGGGGAGGGACTCTTCATTAGGGACTGTAGTGACAGGACAAGGGGTAACGGGTTAAAACTTAAACAGGGGAAGTTTAGATTGCATATAAGGAGGACGTTCTTTCCTGTTAGGGTGGTGAGGCACTGGAATATGTTGTGAATGCTCCATCTCTGGCGGTGTTCAAAGCCAGGTTGGACGAAGCCTTGGGTTTCATGGTTTTAGTGTGCTGTGTCCCTGCCCATGGCAGGGGGTTGGAACTAGATGATCTTAAGGTCCTTTCCAACACTAACTATCCTATGATTCTAAACAGGAAAAACATGAATTTTCCTTCTTAGCCATATATTAGTCTTACAAAGCGAGCTTGCCTAAAGTTTGAGCAAGATTGACGCAGCAACCCCCTTTTGCTTGTTGTCCAACAAAGATCAATTTATGAGTAATAAATGAGAATTTGCATATATGTTACTTCTAGGTCCTCTTTTTCCTCTTTCCCCATCATCCTACCTCTTCAAACCACAACTCTTCCCATGAGATGCCCATCCAGCTCTTCCCAATTTTCAAGCTTGCTGCACTCTAACCTCATGCCTTGATCCTTCACCACATCATGCAGTTCTACTGGGTTCCTGTAAGCTCATTGGTAAAAGAACCACTGCATTATTTGGAGGCAGGACACAAAAAACCAACCAAATAATTGGTGCTAATTTCCTCCTTTGACACTCTTTCACAGGGCTTGAAGAGATTCAGCAAGACCTAGGCATTCAGATGCATGCTGTGTCTTTCTTCTGTGATAGGCAGATACTTCCCAGTGTTCACAAATACACTTGAAAATTAATCCATTGCTCTACTTTTGAGTAAATATGTTGCATTTTCAGCCTTGCTGGAACCTAGCATTGCTGCTTGCAGACAGAAGGTGCTGTCATATTCCTGCAAGCATTTTTATTCCTACAGAATTAATTACAGCATCAAATAGAATTTGACTCTTCTCTGGCACCCAATTTGCACCCACAAGCCAGCAACTAGACACGATGACCCAAGTGAAGGGACAAAAAGCCCAGCTACAGCTGTAGCTGACAAACAGAAACCTGCTGTTTTGAAACTGCCTATCGCAGACAACAGCACTGTGCTCCTTTTGGCAAAGGAAACCATCCTGAGAAAGAATTTATCTGGTGACTGACAGGCAGCAGTGGGCTATGAGCCTAGAAGATAATATTTTGGCTACATCATTTCTCCTCCTCAGAAACTCTCTCCTGAAGAGCTGTGTGCTGCACAGCACTCACAAAGGTAACCAGTAATGAGGTTGCATTTTGATCTTGTTTATACTTTGTAGAGATTTTCCCTGTATATAAACCTACTTTTAAGGTTACAAAAGGTGAGTACTGTCTGATCATTCAGATAAGAGGGTGTGCTTTTAACACAGAAATTTCCTGTGGTGCTCATGCCATGTCTGGTCAGGATCCAAACTTGACGCTATATTTGGTTGCCCTGGAACATTTATGCTTTAAACATCACCTCACTGTTGTTTGTTAAGCTGACAGCATTGCAGAGCTTTCATTTGTAACCTCAGGTGGAAAAACTGAGACTCACTTCGATAGCAGAGGAGGATATCTTCACACCTGCTCATTTTGAAATGCTTTTATCAGAGGTCCAGATGTTATTACCATGCTTGTGCCACGATGAGGTGGGAGAAAGAAACAAGATAGGGAAGGAAACCCAATCCAGGACTTCTGACAGCAAAGCATGCATCGTCATTGTGCTTTGTCCTTAATGAGAAATGAGGCTGGTGTTCTGAAGCTGGGCACTGCTGTCAGATGGACTTGACCTTCTCTTTGCTGATGAATGGTGGTTAACCAGGAAATGGCAACTCTGCACTAAAAATCTTCCTAAGCTAAAACTGTCTGCCAAGTTGCTAACCAAAATATTGCAGAGATTTAAGGAAAGCAGACAGGTGGGAGTAAATAGACATTGCTTGATTGACCCATTACCTACGTTTAGACTGATGAGAAAGCTATTGCCAGTGCAGCCACATTGAAATCCGGGCATGGGTTTCCAAGGGTTACACACCTGCCCAACCATGCTTTTATTTCCCTCTTCAAGGTGAGTCCTGAGCAGGCTATATGGGTTGCTCCACTGTGTTTGTCCTATGTCCAAGAGAAATGAGGTTGAAGATGCCTGAAGGAGCTGTCTATTTTCTTTCTGTCAAAATGCTAAGTTTTTAGAGCTGTATTAGTAAAGTCCATCAAGGTTATCTGAACAAATCTTTCGATAACTTCATAATCACTTAACATATGTGTGAACTGAACTGTGTTATTCCTTAGCTAAAACACACAACAGCTGACTAACACACAGGCAAGTAACACTGTTGGTTAATGCAGTTTAAATCCAGAGGGCATGTGGGTAAAGAAGTCATCCAAGGACCAAAGTCATTAGAACAAAAGATGCCCGTCAGCTGTCATGAATTTATGAGGACGTGGGAGTGGATTAAGAGAGGGATTTAGCCCCTTCAGAACATCTTCCATTAGCAGAAAGTAAAGCCTCTCTGAGTGGGCACCACAGCAGCATCTAAATTGCCTGATCTGAAAGTGCTGCTTCCTCTTAGCTGTCACCATTTTCTCCAGCTTTAACTCAGCAGCAGGTCAGCAGCGAGCACAACCTGACAGCCATTACCAAGCTACCTGTGACTGTGTGTGTGAGCATTTATCATGTGTCTACTTCCATTTACTGCCATTTCAGGACAGGGAGTAGAAGAGAGGGAACATTGACAATATTTAGGCCCCCAGTCTGCCTGGACTACAGTTTCCCCCACTGGATCACAGAATACTGTTGTTTCTTTGGGCTCTCTCCAGCTGTGTCTCAAGAAGAGCTGTGCCAGCGTAGAACAACTTGACCTATAGATTGTGGCAGGTAGCGCTTCACTTTCTGGTCTGGGTTCAGCAAGAAGGTATTTACATGGAGCTTTGGCCCATAGGGTTCACTAAAGGGAAGACAAAAGGCTAGTCAGATAATTCTCACCCATCCCTGGATCTTGTCCCTCTTCCTTCCCTCCCAACTGATAGAAAGCTCTGTGATGATGGATTACAGAAAATACAAGCATTGGATGGAGAGAGCCACACAGAGACAATGTTTTACATGCCTGGTCTTGGCATCAGCCTCACCTCAGAGAGGTGATAATGTAAAGCATTATCTCAAAGATTAATTTCACTGCAGCAACATGCAAGAGAGAGCTCACTGTGTGCCCCTGATGACAGGGAAAACTCTTCCTTTTAAGTACTGTCATCCAGAGCAGTGTCAAATCAAGGAGAGATCAGATGCCACCATCCCCATGTATACAGATGTACTGTGGAACAGCAGGTTCAGTGATTTTCCAAATCCCACTTCAAGATGATGTGAATGAGCCAAGGGAGCTGTGCCCGGGTATGCAAGCATAATGCTGTGTGCTCAGTGTACAACCAGACAGCTGGTTTCCTGAGGAAGGTTGCTAAATTGGCCAGAATGAAGTGAAAAGAAAGAAGATAGTTTAGCAGCTGGCAAGGGGCGAATAGGAAGGCAGACCCTTTGGCACCATGCAGCAATGCCTCAGTGAC